CTGACTTGCGATTAACACCTTTCTCCCCCAGCCAAGTTCCAGCTCTATCCATTTTTGCAGCATTAGGCTAGGTAGAGGTTGGGGGTGGGGAGATTGCAGCTTGGAGGCATTGCCACCAGGTGGCAGAGTGGTTCTTCACAGCGTAGCCTCACCTCCTTTCTGGCAATGAGGTTAACTGTCTAGGAGTAGCATTATTCAGAAGCTTCTGGGAGGCTTCTCTTAAGGCTACTTATACATTACAGGTAATGTTCAAACCAGAAAAACATTCCCTTCTCCTAAGCTGCCCTTTATTGGCTTTTATGTTTGTTACCAATTTTACTCACAACCATGATAGAAAAATTAGACAGTTGTAAAAGGCTAAAAAAGAATTGTTCCTGCCCGGGCACAGGTGGCTCACGCCTGTAATCCTAGCTACTCAGGAGGCTGAGATCTGAGGATCGCAGTTCAAAGCCAGCCCGGGCAGGAAAGTCCATGAGACTCTTATCTCCAATAAACAACTAGAAAACCAGAAGTGGCGCTGTGGCTCAAGCAGTAGAGCGCTTGTCTTGAGCTGAACAGTGCAGGGACAGTACCCAGGCCCAGAGTTCAAGCCCCACAACTGACCAAAAAAAAAAAAGAATTGTTCCTGAAATGTTATCACACCCAGGTAGATGTCATACATTTGGTTTGCTAGTTTGAGTTTTTTTGTTTTTGTTTTGTTTTTTTTTCTTAAACAGGGCTGAGCCACAAACCAACACCTTGTGTCACTCATTTGTTCTTAAAATATTTTGATAATTGGACTATATATCTGTGTATTTAAAAATCATTATTCTGATATAGGATCCTTAGGTTTTACCACATAGCCCAAAGAGCGTAAAGTACAATTTGCCCAATTTAGACTAAAATTTGACTCTGTGAGGAGGTAGTTGGCAAAAAAAGCCACTTTCCAGCTTGTGTGCGGATGGGCAGAATGAGGGAGGTAGAAGGAAGCAGGAGAGAAGGATCAAAGGGTCCAAAAACATCTAAACAGTAGGTTATAAACCAACACAGGGATAAATGTCTGTAGTCCCAGCTACTCTGGAGGCTGAAGTGGGAGGATCAGTTGAGCCTAGGGAGTTTGAAACCAGCCTAAAAAAAGTAAGACCTAGTCTCAAAAATATGCATACGGCTGGGTCCTGGTGGCTCACATCTGTAATCCTAGCTACTCAGGAGTCTGGGATCTGATCATTGCAGTTTGAAGCCAGAAAAATCTGTGAGACTCTTTTCTCCAATAAATTACCAAAAAAAGTCAGAAGTGGATCTGTGGTTCAAGCACTACCCTTGAGCGAAAGAAGCTTAGAGAAGCCCCAGGACCAGCAAAAACAAATAGATATACATATATATGCGCCAGATACCAGTGGCTCACACCTGCAATCTTAGCTGCTCAGGAGGCTGAGATCAGAGAATCATAGTTTAAAGCCAGCCCAAGCAGAAAAGTTCCTCTCCAATTAATCACCAATCAGCAAAATGTTACCTGGAGGTATGGCTCAAGTGATAGAGCAGCAACCATGAACAAGCAAGCAGAACAAATGTGAGGCCTCTGAATTCAAGCCCTAGTAGTGTTAAAAAAAAAAAAAAGAAAAGAAAAAGTATAGAAAGGGTATGTTGAAAAATAAATGAGTCAGGTGCCAGTGGCTCTTGCCTATAATCCTAGCTACTCAGGAGGCTGAGAACAGGAGAATAGAAGTTTGAAACAGTTGAGGCACCAACAAGACCCCTTCTTAACTCATCTGCATGTGATGGGGCATGCTTGTTACCATAAGCTATGTGGGAGGCTGATATTGGGATAATCCAGGCCTGCTCAGGTAGAAAAGTCCACAAGACACCATCCTAATGGACAGATGTTGAGCATGGTTGTGTACACCTGTCATCCCAGCTAGAACTGGAAGCCTAAGATAGGCAGATCAGGGTCTAGGCATGTACCTGTGCAAGAAATGAGTCCTTATCTCAAAAGTTGCTAGCATAAATAAAGGGCTGGAGGCATGGGCCAGCACCTGCCTGGAAAGCATGAAACCCAATTACCCCCCCAAAAAAAATTATTTCAAGAAATACTCCAGGATAGAAATAATGGTTCAGCCAGGTGTTGGTGGCTCACACCTGTAATCTTAGCTACTCAGGAGGCTGAGATCTGAGGATCGTGGTTCAAAGCCAGCCCGGGCAGGAAAGTCCGTGAGACTCTTATCTCCAATAAAATCACTAGAATACCAGAAGTGGCGCTGTGGCTCAAGTGGTAGAGTGCTTGCCTTGAGCTGAAGAGTGCAGGGACAGTGCCCAAGCCCAGAGTTCAAGCCCCACGACTGATTAAAAAAAGAAAGAAAGAAAGAAAGAATGGTTCAGGCTAGGTGCTAATGGCTCACACCTGTAATCCTAGCTACTCAGGAGGCTGAGATCTGAAAATCATGGTTCAAAGCCAGCCTGAGCAGGGAAGTCCATGAGACTCTTATGTCCACTTAACCACTAGAAAACCAGAATTGATGCTGTGGCTCAAGTGGTAGAGTGCTCACTTTGAGCTGAAGAGGTGAGGGACTTTGCCCAGGCCCAGAGTTCAAGTCCCATGACTGACCAAAAAAAAAAGAAAGAAAAAAAATAATGGTGTGTTTTTTTTAATAAAAATACAATATATACAGTTTAGAGGGAAGATACACAATAGAAGCCAAGAAAGTACCAAGGGAGAGTTGTGAGTGTGAGAAGTGAACACTCCAAAGACATTGGGATCAGCTCCACAATGTCAGCCCACCACAATCGGGTGGGCTGCGTACCAGAAACTGATTAACGGGTCAGAGGGAAGGAATTGCTGGAGCATGGCAGGGTGGAAGGAAGCATGTGGAAGGGGAAAGGATGGACACAAAGGTTCTGCCAGACCTCTGCCCTGCAAACTCCAGGGCACTGCTGGAGTTCGGATGGGCTGAAAGCAGGGTGTATGGGGTGATTGTGTGGGACTGCTACATCCCCTGGCTGTCTCCCTATTTGGTCCTTTGCTCTTTTCCTGGATGACTTGTAGGCATTCTTCATTGATTATGGATATTAATAGTTTCTCTTTTATAGGTATATAAATATTTTCTCAGTCAGGTTTTTATATTTTAATTTTATTGTTGGAGTCCCTTGATGTACTGGGACCACAAAATTATTCACAATCAAACCTGTTTTTCATGGTTTCTGGGTCTTGTGTTTTTGTTTGCCATGGAGTCCTTGTACTCAGGACTTGGGTGCTCTCCCTGACCTCTTTTATTCAAGGCTAGAAAACTACCACTTTGAGCCACAGCATCACTTCTGTTTTCTGGTGGTTAATTGGAGATAAGAGTCTCATAGACTTTCCTGCTCGGGCTGGCTTTGAACAGTGATCCTCAGATCTCAGCTAGAATTACAGGCATGAGCTACCAGGGTCAGGTGGGTTTTGTGTCTTAAGATGATTACTTTCATATTTGGAAAAAGAAGAATAGCTGTTAAGTTTTTTTTTTTTTTTTATTGGTCCGGTCGTGGGGCCTGAACTCTTGGCCTGGGCGCTGTCCCTCAGCTCTTCAGCTCAAGGCTAGCGATCTACCACTTGAGCCACAGCGCCACTTCCAGCTTTTTTTTCTTTTTGCTTATGTGGTGCTGAGGAATCGAACCCAGGGCCTCAGGCATGCAAGGCAAGCGCTCTACCACTGAGCCACCTTCCCAGCCCATAGCTGTTAAGTTTTTAAAGAGGCTGGCGAGTAAAAACACCACCACACACTTGGTATTCAGGTAGGTTTATTTGTCGTTCCAGTTGCCACCAGGCCAGGTTGGCACTTCACATGGCTAGAAAAGAGAGCGCCTGACAACACCCCCTCCCCCATGCCTTATCTAGGGTAGGGGCTGAGAAGGTGTGGCCGGGTAAAGGGAGGTAGGACCAGGTGGGAGAAAGGTGTGGCCTCATGGAATCCAGATGTGATCTCAGTGGATGAGGATGTGACCTCTTTCAGGTGTGCCAGTTGCCTAGGTAACACAGGTACTGGGCGGAGACTTGGCTGCAAGGAGGGTGGAGTCTGCTCTCCATCCAGGAGTGGACCTTACAATAGCCAGATCAGAAAGAGAGGTAGAGCAAGAACGGGAAGCAGCAGCATGGTTAACTCAATTACAGAGGTCACCTGAAAATCTCACATTCGTTTTTATGCCGATACCCTCTTTACCAGGCTCCTTCCAGGGAGCAGTTTGAGGGCTTGACTTTGAAAGCTGGATAGAATTTACTAGGTAGAGCAGAAAAGGAAAGTGTTGGCAATGAAAGCAATGGCTTAAACCATGGAGCACAAATAAATGTGGCTGATGTGGAGCTGGCTGCGGGAGGCATGTGCGGGGGCCCACACCAGCTTGAGAGCGGGCAGAGTGGGCAGGGGGTGAGTGCAGTGCTTACAGGTGAACCCGCCTTGAAGGAAAATGGTAGTGCCAGAGGATGTATATGCACAGTCTTGTTAATAAAGACTTTTTTATTTTTTTTACTTAAGCCAATTAGCCATCCAGCAAAAGGGAAATGGCTGAGTAAATTAGAGTTAGCCAGATGATGGAGTACTAGTTTTGAGAATTATCATCTGTGAGGACTGGGAAGAAAAGATAGACTTATCATTTGTTAAAAAGGTGATAGGAGGCACTTGCCTTCTGTGCATGAGGCTGAAAGGGAATGGCTCAAAAGTAAGAGGTTTACTTGGATGATGGGTGGCTATTCTCCTGTCTTACAGAGTTGCACTGTTGTCATGGTCTGTTCATATTTTCAAAGAGGCAGATGTCAGTGACTCAGGCAATCAACAACGGCTCTTAAGGTTTCTGTGGGGGGGTAAACAAGGGGCCAAGGTTAAGGGCGATTTAGGAAATGGGAGGTAGATTTTTGATTGGGTGGGGGGGAGACAGATGGACCAGTGGTGGCTTTGGAGGAGGGGCCTCCTTCTAGGTCTGGGTCTCTAAGAGAGTGTCTGCAATTTACAATCCACAGTCTGGACAGAGATCAAAAGGCCCTTCTTGCCTTCCAGGGTCTCCTCATGCTGCTACAGAATCTACCTACGATACACTGGGGCAATGAAGAGATCGGGTTGCTTCTGGCTGAGGCATACAGACTCAAGTACATGTTTGCCGATGCCCCCAATCACTACCGCCGATAGGTGCTGTCTCCTCTGGGGACCCAGACTGCCCCCATCTTTGATGGCAATTCTCATCACTGTGGCCACTGAGCGAGCCATGGACCTTGGCTGGGAACCACTCCTGCTGTACAAAGCTCCCCCCGCCGCCGCCCAGGTTTCAACTTCTTGGCATCCACCACTCCATGTCTCTGGATGTGTCTCTTGGACCACTCTCAGTATTCCATGCCATGTGGATGGGCCCAGTTCTGGGAGAGGACAGAAAAGGAGGTACAGGGTTGTCCGCCCCTTTAAAAGGAACTGGACAAAAGCAAAAGGGGGAGGCTCAGGGTCTCAACTCACATTGTCCCTACACAGGCTGGCTGGCCCTTGCCTCTAGGCCTCAACGATACCAATTTTCTTTTTTTTTTTTTTAACAAAACAGGAAACACACACAAAATTTATTAAATGCCTAAGGCAGGGGATTATTAGGCTGATAACCTTTGCTTTTTGTGACTCACTTTGAGTTGATCACCGTTGTATGTGTTCAGAAGACCCCTGGCCCCGCTTCCTGCTTCTGGCTCCCTCACCGCACTCCCTCTGCTGTGTCTGAGCCAGTCAGATGGAGGAGGCACCAAGGCTCATCACTCTGGGAAGAGACCTATTCCTAAGGGCTAGGACTTTTCTTTTTCCTTTTCTCACCAGATGTCTATGTGCGAGTGTATACCAAGCCCATCAGCGTTCTGTCACTGTCTGAGTTTCAGTGTCTGGTCTAGCCCATCAGCACCCAGTGACCAAGCTGAGAAGGATCAGGGCCAGGCAGGGAGGAGGGGGTTTTTCCCCTCTCCAAACCTTTTTTCCATGATGACCCACTCCAAGATATTATGTGTAAATTGTGTTATTATGTATATGGTAAAGATGTACAAATATATGTCCTTTGTAGCAGATATGATTTTATATTTATAATGTGCATCGACATGTGAAAGCAATCCTAGGTCACTAGCACAGATGAAGTTGCCTGACTGGTGGCTTCTTTGGTCCGTTCCTGGGCACCCTGTCTTTGGGGGGGGACAGACTAGCAGTCTGCTGGAGTGGGTATGGCTAAGATGGAGCCATCAGCCCACACATCAGTGTCTCAGTTTTTCTTTTCTCCCATCATCCCATGCCTCCTCAGCCTGGACCCTACCCCTCTCTTTAGCTGTGGAGCACCCCGCCCATTGCCCCTAGTACCTCCCTGTCTCCTTTTCCTGGTCCCTTTCCCTAGTGTCTGAGGAAGGCCATAAGTTAGCACTAGATTCAATGCCGAACTGTGGCTGACTCGTCCATGTCAAGGGAAGGGGTTTCCTCCGTGTCCCTGGCGTCTGGGGCTCTTCTCAGAGTGAGGTTTGGTGTCTCCTGCTGTCATCATCACCCCCTGTCACAGCTCATGAAATGGATGATCTGTGCTCAATTCTTGGTGGTTGGTGGTGGAGGAGGGAGGGATGAGGGCAAGCTGGCATCCTCTTGGGCGGTCACGTGACATCCCAGAGGATGACACCCCGAGTGTCTTTGCCAACCAAGCCCTCTCCCAAGTCCCTGGCATGATGGAGTGAGATTTCTCATCTGGAGTTGTTCTCAGGCGTCCGTCCCCGTTGGTGTGCCTCTGCTCATGTCTCCTCTACAGGGGCGTGGGGTGTGGGGTGCCCTCCCTCAGCCAGACTAACTAAAGAAAGACACTTGTGCTCCCAAGTGGTGGTTTTATTTTTTTAGTTTTTATGTTTGTATGGGAAATTGTGGGTACGGTGAATGAATTGTAAATAAATGGTGTATTTCCTCCTCCATCTGCTGTTTTTCTCCTGTGGATTTGTGTAGACTGGAACCAAAGCTGTCTCCTTTTCTTGCGTTTTTCTTGCTGATATTCATATATAAGAATCAAGCCTTTCACAGGAACAAGCAGGACATCAAGCGAAGACCAAGAGACATTCTCAGAGGACATGAGAATTCATGAGTTCAGGGCCAACCTGGGCTACACAGTGAGACTCTGTCTCAAGAAGAAGAAGGAAAAAAAAAAAAAAGGAAGAGGGAAGGGGGAAAAAGAAGGAGGGGGAGAAAAAGAGGAGATAGGTAGGGAGAGAAAATAGACTTAGAATTTCAGCTAGAGATAGCTTTTTTTTTTAAATCCTGGGGCTTGAACTTTGGGCTTGGGTGACTCTTTTGCTCAAGGCTAGGAGCCACAGCACCACTTCTGGCTTTTTGGAGTAGTTTATTGGAGATAAGAGTCTCACAGACTTTCCTGTCTGGGCTGGCTTTGAACCGCAATCTTTAGATCGCAGCCTCCTGAGTAGCTAGGTTTACAAAGTGTGAGCCCCTGGTGTCTGGCAAAATAGATAATTTTTTTGGGGGGGGGTCCAGTCATGGGGCCTGAACTCTGGGCCTGGGCGCTGTCCCTCAGCTCTTCAGCTCAAGGCTAGTGTTCTACCACTTGAGCCACAGCGCCACTTCCGGCTTTTTTCTTATGTGGTTCTGAGGAATCGAACCCAGAGCCTCATGCATACAAGGCAAGCGCTTTACCACTGAGCCACCTTCCCAGACCCAAGATAGATAATTTTAACACCCTTATGTTCAGAGGAAGACCCATCACATCATGGCTAGGGACAACCTTAGGGTCAGGATATAGTGCAGCCCTTATCCTGGCTTGCCTAGATAATATGTTCCATCAAACCATATAGAACTAAGATATAGAGCACTAAGATTGGCTATACATTTAGGGTCTTTATAGGCCTTATTTGGCCTTTAGAGTAGTCTTTCTCTCGGCAGCTTTAGCATGTCTCAGAAAATATAGTCTGGTTACATTTTTTCATCTACTAAACATAGATTGGGATTGTTTCTTCTTCTGAATTCCTTTGTAGGACTTATTTGAGAGTGTTTCTTGGTGTCAACCATTAGGAGATATATAAAGGTCAAATTCTTCTACATGTAACAGAAACCTACATCACTACTCACTTAATATGGGAATTTACCTCTATCTCACATAAAGTCCAAAAGTAGGCACCCCAGGGCTGGTGTGCTGACTGGAAATTCTTAGCCGGTTGATGCCACTAGGCTTCATGGTCAAGATGGTAGCCAGCACTGGAGATATTTTTGCATTTACTTTCCAAGCAACAGAACAGATTAAAGAGAGGACAGAGAAAGAAGGAAATGTGCCAGCCGTGTCCTCAGGAAGGCCAAGGAAACTGCATGTAATATTCCCTTTAAGCCTGGCTCCAGAGCCTCACATCTGTAATCCTAGCTACTCAGGAGGCTGTGATCTGAGGATCACAGTTCAAAGCTGTTCCAGGGCAGGAACCATCAACGGGCCAGAAATGGAGCTGTGGCATAAGTGGTAGTGCACTAGCTTTGAGCAGAAACACTTGGGCAGGAGGTATGATGAGAGGAGAGCTTATCTGCTTTGTTTTTGCCAGTCCTGAGGCTTGGAATCTGGGCCTGGGCACTGAGTTCCCTGCGTTCCCTTTGCTCAAGGCTAGTGCTCTGCCACTTGAGCCACAATTACAACCCCCCAAAAGGGAGACAATCCATTGAGGCACGGTTAAAGGTGACAAATTTTATTTACACTATTTACAACAGAAGGGGGGCCTGTGACTACCTTGTCCTGGGCTGCATCCCCAGAGCCAAGGGCAGCCTCGACCCCCAGACCTCCAAACTGCAAAGCTCAGGCTTTCCTTTTGCTTCCTGCCTCCTTGGCAGGCCTCTCTCTCCACACCCCACAGGCCTGCCCTGCTCTGCTCCAGTAGGCGCCTCTCCACAGGCCTCAGGCCTCTCCACAGGCCTGCCCTGCTCTGCTCCAGTAGGAGCCTTTTGCATCTCTGTCTCTCTCTGACCGCCCCCTGCCCTTTGGAACACGCAGCCTATATATAGGTGCGCCGCCCCTTCACTCCAACGGGTCTAACGGTTTCAACCGTCTAACGGTTTCCGCTGCTACGCCCCTCCCTCAAGCTGCCCACTGGCCAACCACTTTTTGACAGCTTGACAGCTCTTGACAGCTTTTGACGGCTTGCTCCATGGGCTGGTTACATCACCCCTAGGCGCCCCGCCCCTCCGATGACATGCTCCGCCCCCTCCAGTAGCACGCCCCCATAGGGGAGTGACAGTGACAGCCTCCCAACGCCCCGCCCCCTCCAGCAGGTAGGCCTCTGCCGGCAGGCTTTGGCCGCCCCCCCCCCTTCCACTGGTTATTACATCACAGCTCAACTTTAGGCTTTTTCTGTGATTAAGATCACAGGTAAGAGTCTCATGGATTTTCCTGGGCTGGCTTTTTCCTTGGGCTGGCTTTGAACTGAGATCCTCAGCCCTCAGCCTCCTGAGCAGCCTCACAGGTGTGGGCCATCAGTGCAAGGCAGTTTAGCTGCTTTTTCAGGTTCCTTTCTGGTTTTAACTTTTGAGTCTGGCCCTTGTGATGTTTGTAGAAATAATATCCCTTCACCAGTCTGCGCGCACCACCTCCACCATGTGATCAACACATCAACAGTGATCATCCGGGTTGTCAGCCACTGACTGTCGTTTTATTCTCATGATTATACAAGGAGAGTTTGTGACATTCCCACACAATGTATCCCAACCAACCTTCCCCTTCTGGTATTCTCCCCCATCCTCCTCCCTCTTCTTAAAACTATTTTAGCAGGTTTGTTTTCACACGCCATTTTACTCTTTTACCATGATTCAGTGCCCCACAGACACAATTTTGTAGAAGCAAACTTCATCAGGTATTGGAAAACTGAAAACATTCAGGTGGCAGTGGGCTGGGGGCATGGCTCAAGTGATAGACCACTTGTTTAGCAAAGGCAAGGCTCAGTTTACCTTCCCCCCACACACACACGTGGCAGGCATTGCACTACTGGAGAGACTATAAAGCTTTCACACAATACCAGACAATCAGGGGAGAGAGCTGAAAATTATTTTTAATCGGAGGATAATCTCCGCATCACAGAGCTCTCCCACTGAAGGTGTGCGTTTCCATGACTTTTTCTAAACTTATACACGTGCAAATCACTACATTCAATCTACGTTTAGAATATTCCTGTCCGCTCTTCTTCATGTCCTTCAAGCCACTGTGCATCCAGTCCCCACTTCCACACCTAGCCCCTGGTAACCGTTCTTTATCGATGGTCCCTATTTTATATGGGCAGAGCCTGGGGGCGGGGAGGGGGAGGAGGGAACCGAGGAGGGACGCCCTTCCCCCTTATCTACGCTGCTACAGCCGGGCCCTAACGCCCGCAGCCGCGGCCTCCCAGCGGCGCATGCGCGGAGCCCGGGCTTCCGGGTCGCCGCGGGCCTCGCGCAGCGCCGGAGCGCGCGTTCGTTCGCGTCGAACGCGAACGGCAGCGACGGCTTCTGTCTGTTGCCTAGGAATGGCGCGGACTTGCGGGACCCGAGGCCTTGCTCTCGTCCGCTGCTGACTGCCACCGCGGGGGGCTGAACGGACCATGGGGGAGCCGGGCTCTTTGGTTAAGGGACGCCGAGCCGGTCGCCGGGGCTGGTGCTTGAGAAGACTGGGGATGAACTCCGAGTGGTTGCTGCTGGAGGACGGGCGCGAGGTGAGGGCGGGCGCGCAGGCCCCGGGGCG